CCGCTGTCACACTCAAGGCAGGGTCGATGGGGAGGTTGCGGCGCCACCCCCTGTCATGCACAGAGCAGGACCAATCAGGGGGTTGGGGCGCTGCCCCCTGTCACGCACAGAGCAGGGCCCATCAGGGAATTGGGGAGCTCCCTCCTGTCACGCACAGAGGAGGGACAATAGGGGAGTTGGGGCACCACCCCCTGTAACACACAGAGCAGGGTGGATCAGGGGGTTGGGGTGTCGCCACTGTCACACTCAGGACAGGGCCAATGAGGGGGGCAGTTGGGGCACCGCACCCTATCACACACAGAGCAACAGGGCAATCAGGGGGTTGGGGAGCTCCCCCCTATCACGCACAGAGCAGGGCCTATCAGGGGGTTTGGGCACCGCACCCTGTCACACACAGAGCCGCAGGGCGATCAGGGGGTTGGGGAGCTCCCCCGTCACACACATAGCAGGGCCGATCAAGAGGTTGGGGCACCACACCCTGTCACACACATAGCCGCAGGGGGATCAGGGGTTGGGGAGCTCCCCCCTGTCACGCACAGAGCAGGGCTGATCAAGGGGTTGAGGAGCTGCCCCCTGTCACGAACAGAGCCGGGCGGATAGGAAGGTTGTGGCCCTGCCCCTGTCACACACAGAGCCGCAGGGTGATCAGGGCGTTTGGTCGCTGCCCCCTGTCACGCTGATCCTGGTGCTGGGAGGCATATTACCCTTTTACTATAGAGGGTAGAAGCCTGGTGCACGGGTGGGGGCCAGCTGGTTTTGCCCTGAAGGGTGTCCTGGATCAGGGTGAGGGTCCCCAATGGGGTGCCTGGCCAGCCTGGGTGAGGGGCTGAGGGCCATTTTCAGGCTGGCGGGTTACTGAAGCTCCCAACCTGTCCTGTTTCCTTTTTTTTTTTTAAATTCTGGGCCAGCTTTAGCTCTGAGGCTTGGCTCCAGCTATGAGACCTCCGCTGCTGAAAGCAGGTCTCTGGCCTTTGTTTACCTTCTATATTTGAAATAATGCTGCGGTTCTGCTGGCTGAAGCCAGGGGTTTTGTTTAGCTTCTATATTTGTTACAATGTTGCTTAGAGTGCAGCTGAGAGGCTGGCAAGGCAGGCAGCGAAGCTTGGCTTCCTCAGTCACTGAAGTAAGCAAGCCTCCCTGTTCGCATCAGCTGCCTGGCTGCCGGCCGCCATCTTGGCTGGCAGTTAATTTGCATATTGCCCTTATTAGCCAATGGGGAGGTTTGCAGTCGTACGCTAATTACCATGTTTATCTTTTATTAGATAGGATTAGTTAACCACAAAATAAAATACCTGCCCTGATTATACTTTTTTAAAAAAAGAGTCAACGGCCAGCACCACTGGAGGGGGCTCCCCTTCACCATTTGCCTCCCTATAGGGAAGGTTTAAAGGGAACAGAGACCTGGGTGGCAGGGCCAGGGAATCTCCACCTGAAGGTGCAGGAACTTGTAAAAGCTACAGCCCTGAGGCCTGGACACTGTGAGCTGGCTGAGGGATGGACACTGTGAGCTGGCTGAGGGCTGAACACTGGGAGCTGACCGAGGGCTGGGCACTGGGAGCTGACCGAGGGCTGAGCACTGGGAGCTGGCTGAGGCCTAGAGCTGGGTGAGGGCTGGACTCTGGGAGCTGGCTGAGGGCTGGGCACTGGGAGCTGGCTGAGGCCTGGACACTGGGAGCTGGCTGAGGACCCAAATGCCATCATAAATATCCTGATAAGAGTGACTAGACCCCTCCAAAGGCCAACTCAACACCAAGCAGAGCTTCGTCCACAGCCAAGAGACGCTGAGCCAGCAGAGCTGAGAGGCAAGGAGTGAGTTTATTCTGAGCCTCTGGGGGAGGGAGCAAGGCCCTGCCGGCAGCTCGGTTTCAGACCTCTGGCCTCCAGAACTGGCAGACACACCTGTTTGAAGCCACCATGGTTGTTGTAGTTTGTACAGCGGCCCCAGAAAACTAACAAAGATCAAACCAGCGCAGAGCTGTGAAGCCGCCCAGCCAGATGGACAGGGCTGCCTGTGACGCAGCTGCTTTGGAGGAAAGCAGAGGTGAGGGGTGGAGAGAAGGGGTCCTGGGCATTGGGTAGAGCCCTGAAGTCATAGGTCACCCCAGAAGGCAGCCTTCCTTCCCTGGCCTCTTCCGCCGCATAAACCAGCACATGTCCCTTCTTACTTACGGCCAATGGAGCTGGTTCTCTGTTGCTTGCAACTCAGAGATTTCTGACTGACACGCTCACTCGGTGATTACCAAGAGCCTTAAAATTAGGTAAATCTCTGACCCAGTAACCCCAGTTTCTGTCCCAAGGAACCAGTGTGTCTGAGGAAGTCACTGCCGTGTGAAAAAGACAGAGACCTCTGTATGTGACCACAGGACCCTGAGCTCATAGATGATGCACATCCCTCTGACGGGACCTTATGCAGTCAGCAAAAACCGTGTTCTCATGCTCATTATAAAATGTTAAGTGAACAACAGCATAGTCAACATATATACATGCTGTGGAAGCAGCGTAAGTCTCATCAATACATGACTAGACAAAGAAAACATGAGATATGTATATAACATTCAGCCATAGGAAAGAATGTAACCTGGCTCTTTGCGACAGCGTGGACAGACCTGCAGAATATTATGCTGAGTGAAGTAAGTCAGAAAGAGACACACAGATACCAGGTGATCTCACTTAGATGTGGAATCTAAACAAACAAAGAAAAACAGAAAACCAAGCCCGTAGACACAGAGAACAGATGGCAGTTGCCAGAGGTGGATGAGGGGCTGGCGGGGGCAGGGAGTGCAAAATGGGTGAAGGGGCG